CTTTTGGTAAACCTCCGTGGACGTTCCGACCCACCCAGAGGTTGGGCGTTCCGCCTTCAGGCCCCTTTGGCCACGTGGGCCACGGAAATTCCACCGTTTTAAAGTCCATTTTTGGCGTGCAGGCAGCCGCCCCACAGCGCACCCTTTCGGGTGCGCCTGTTTAGGGCCACCTTTACGGCAACCGCAATTACCGCCGCGGCCATGGGGACCCCCTGTTCCCACCCCACCCGTGCCTTCGCCCCCTGCCACACGTTCCTTGGTTACGGCGGCGGCGGCCGCCTTGGCTTCCACCGCCCTGGCTGCCTTCAAACACACCCGTCGCACGTTCTTTTTTTCCCCGCCGCCCCCGCGCAAACCCCCCGCGCAAGGCCAATACCCAAGCCCGATGGGCAGTCCCTCCACACACCTCCCCAAAGTTCCCCAAATTTCCCCCCCCCCCCCCCCCTGCGTCGCAGACCGTCCGCTTCAAGAACGAGCTCGAGCGCAACATCACCATCAAGCTCGGGTACGCCAACGCCAAGATCTACCAGTGCGTCGACCCAGAGTGCCCGCGGCCGGTGAGCGTCACCCTACCGCCACGGTACCGAACCCACGCGGGGCTCGAGCCTGCGGACGGTGTGGTACTAGGGCAACTTCCTCTCGCGCGGCTCCTCGACGGAGGACGTTGTGACCGTCGGCAAGTGGACGTACGAGCTGGTGCGCCCCACGCCACTGGCACTACTGGCTGCCTCAGCGTCAGTGCCCTCTTCAGACTCGGCAACTCTTCACAGCCTCACCTTCCGCCGTTCTGCACTTCTTCACTGCGCCGTTCAGCTGCGCCTTGCCGCAGCCTCTCGTACCCTCGTAGCCATGGTAGCCGTGGCACGACTCGTAGAAGACGCGCCCCGGACTATCTCCCCGCATCTCCCCATATCTCCCCCATCTCCCCATATCTCGGGCTGCTAGAAGCGGAGTGTCTCCCCATATCTCCCCCCGTATCTCCCCATCTCTCCCGAGCGGGAGCAGCGGGCCCTAGAAGCGGAGTATCTCCCCATATCTCCCCATATCTCGGCCCTAGAAGCGTCCCTGCGACCTTCTCGGAGAGGCCGTCCTCCAGCCTGCGGTGTTCAGCGGTGCGAGCCGCGCTCCACCGGCTCGTCATGCTTCCCGGGGTTGCTGCCAGGTGCGGCACGTCTCCTTTGTCGACTGCCCCGGCCACGACATCCTCATGGCCACCATGCTCAACGGCGGCCGACGGGTAGCCGAGAGAGAGAGAGCCGAGGCGGCAGCCCGCCTGCACGAGGCGCGTCGAGACGGCGGCGGAGACGCAGCCGAGAGAGCGCGCCACTCGCGCTCTCAAGCCTCGCCTCGCTCTCTTCACGGCGCGGGCTGTGAACAGGCGCCGCCGTGATGGACGCGGCGCTGCTGCTCATCGCCGGCAACGAGCCGTGCCCGCAGCCGCAGACGTGCGAGCGGCTCGCCGCGGTCGGGATCCCCTCTCTCTCCCCGTCTCTCCGCCTATCTCCCCCGTCTCTCGCCACAGGTCCGAGCACCTCGCCGCGGTCGAGATCATGAAGCTCGAGCACATCATTATCCTGCAAAACAAGATCGACCTCGTCAAGGAGGCGAGCGATCTCCCCGACATCTCCCCACGTCTCCCCACACCTCCCCACACCTCCCCACACCTCCCCACACCTCCCCACACCTCCCCACACCTCCGCACACCTCCCCACACCTCCCCACACCTCCACACACCTCCCCACACCTCCCCACACCTCCCCACACCTCCCCACACCTCCCCACACTTCCCCACACCTCCACACACCTCCCCACACC